ACATCTGGTTCCTCCCTTTCCTCTCCCCAGGAGGCAAAGAAAGGAGGATGTGAACCAGCCTGCCCAGGACAGCAGTGACATGCCCTTGTTTGCCAGGTACAAATTCAGACCCCAGGCCCAGCTTCAGAAAGGACAGTCTACGGATGAGTGGGTCTGGCCCTGCCTTGTCCAGTGGCTGGTGACCAGCCCTCAATTGAGGATTTTGGATTTCACAGACACAGGTGACCAGAGACGTGGCTCTAACTTCATTATCAATTTCCTGTTTTAAAGTTGCATGTTTTGAATTTCCTGAATTAATTCCTCTCTTTGATTCCTTTGTAAAGCACACTGGCATTATCCTGCAATTATGTCACTTGAATTTAACATTTTCTCTGGTGGCACATAAAGCAGATGAGAAAAGGACGAATTTACTTACAGTTCCATCAGCGGAAAAGTGGAAGAATAGCCTAATATTATACAATCAGTAACTTGTCATCTATTATATTATAAAATGCCTTTGCCGTTCAATCTGAAATATTCTACATCTCTAGAGAACAGACCTACTTTGTCTGTTTTAGAATTTATAGAAAATAACACCTTTTTAGAAATTATAGAAAATAACACCTACTTTTTTATTAACACTCTGTTTTATGAATGTTCCATAATTGGAAAAACGTAACAAACCTAGGTGGGACTTCCCATTTGTATGCAATTTACAAATTCAATGCAATTTCAATACAAATTACAGTGGTGTTCTTCAATGAAATGGAACCAAAATGGTTCAAATACACATGGGATCACAAAAACCTCTAGTAGGATAGTTCTTACTAAAAGGGGTGGGGGAGAAAGGAGGTATTACACTCCCAGACATCAAACAATATTACAAAGCTGTTATAATGAAATCTTTATTGGAACATAAATAGACACAGATTACAATGAGGAACTAACCCATGACACAGGAGCAAAGAATACACATTGGGAAAATAATTGCCTCTTCCATAAATGGTGCTGGGGAAACTGGATTGCAACATGAAAAAGAATGGAACTAGACCACTACCTCACACTATACACAAACCAACTCAAGTGGATAAAAGACTCGCATGTGAGACCTGGAACCATAGAATACTCAGAAGGGAACACAGTCCAACGCTCCATGACACAATCCTCAGGAATGTCTTTGAGGAATCTTCTCCAGAGGCAGAGAAAACAAAGGAGAATATAAAAGTTGGAGCTCCATATACATAAAAATCTTCAGAACATCAAGAGACAATGATCAAAACAAAGAGATACCCTGCTGAATGGGAGAAAATATTTGCAAACCATTGACAGATGAGGGACTGATAACAAAGATCTACAAAGAGCTTACACAACTCAAAAAAACAAATAATCCAGTCCAAAAAATGGGCAGAAGTTAAAGGACTCTTCTCCAAAGAAGAAATGCAAATGGCCAACAGGCACAGAAAAAAGGTTCAGCATCACTCGTATCAAGGAAATGCAAATCAAAACCGCAGAGATGACACCTCACTCCAGTAAGAATGCTCCACATTAAAAAAATAAACCTGGAAACAACAAATGCTGGAGGAGCAGTGGAGAAAAGGGAGCCTCCTACCCTGCTGGTGGGAAGGCAAACTAGTCCAGCCACTATGGACGGCTATGTGGAGGTTCCTCAGAACACTGAAAATGGGTCTACACATTATCCAGTGAGTCCACTCCTAGGAATATACCCAAGGGACAAAAAAACACCCCAGGAAACCTGAACTCCTTTGTTTACTGCAGAACTATTTTCAATAACCATGACATGGAAACAACTCAAATGCCACAAAACAGATGAATGGATCAAAATGGTGTGGTGTAGATACACAAGGCAATATTACTCAGCAATGAAAACAGACAAATTCATGCCACTGTTGGTGATATAAATGGAGCTTGAAGGGATTATGCTGGCCACAATAAATCAGGAGAAGAAATATCAGATGTGAAATACGGCAGAACTGAACAAAATGTAAAGAAAAAGACAACCCTAGCAGGCTGACCAAGAGCTGAGGATCCAGCAGGGAGCGGGAGGGAGGGGGCTAAACAGGGGGGGGAGAGAAGAGCACAAGGGGTTGTAGTGATGGGTCACAGCTGCTATGGTGGTGGGAGCATTATGGGGACCACCCCTGGGGGAGAAACCAGTAAGTAGACAAAAATGAACAAGGATGTAAGAAAAGAAGAATAAAAGAGATGGTCTTTAAGGACAGGGGAGACCCTAAAATAACATAAATAAATGCACTTAAAGGGGAGTCTCATAGATCTCCAGGAACTTTCTCTGGTAGGTGCCGCAATTAAGCCTGCTGTGTTAGAGAAACAGAGAAAATGCTTTTTTAAAAGATTGATTTATTTTTATACAAGAGCCGGGGTGCAGGGCAGAGGCACTGCAGGGTGAGAAGATTCACCAGACACAGAGTGGGGAGCAGAACAGGCAGATGGACCAAAATACACTGCTGGGGGGGGAGAAGCAGGGAGATAGGAGAGGTCTGCTGTGCCATGTGCTTATATCCCTGGCCGGCTGGGAATTGAACCCGCACATCAGAGGCTGTGGACAGTTTCACAGCATTGTTCCCAACATACTGTGCCACTGGGGAGGCCCGAAAGGGCTATTTTTTTTTCAAGATTTATTTATTTTTACAAGCACTGGGTACAGTCAGAAGCGTGGGAGGTTGAGAGAATTCACCAGAGCCAGAGTGGGGAACAGAATAGGCAGATTGATGAAGGACACTGCTGAGGGGAGCAGCGGGCATGGCAGGAGAGGTCTGCACGCCCTGTGGGGCCCTCGCCAGCAGCCGGGATGGAACCAGCGCTACGAAGGCTGCAGGCAGCTTTGCAGCCCAGCGCTCAACCGCTGTACCACCGGAGGCCCACCAAAAGGGCTGTTTTTAACTGCAGTCTCTTATGACTAGCAATAATGTTTGGGATGAGGGGCATTCTAAAAATATTAAGTAATTCATGTTCAATATTAATGACAGCATCCTCAAATGCTACAATGATACCTGAAAGTTTTGTTCTGTCTCGTTTTAGCCCAAGCTCCTTCCTTATGGAGGAGGACGTCCAGCACCCACAGACCTGTTCTGAGGATGGACGCAAACTCCTTCCCTCCCCCGTCCTACAAGAGGGTTATAACTTACCATTATTATAAATCCTTTGGTGAAGTACAAAATACAAAATTTGGGAGTCCAAAAATATCTGGTCCTTGTGCTTATTTTTTGATCTCAGAGAAGTTACTGATACCTTTTGGACCACAGGGTGCACAACTACAGTGTAGGAATAATAGCTCTATAGCGTCATTAATGGAGATCATGGAACTAAAGCAATGAACTTGTTGCACAGGGTCAGGTAATCTCCATCAGATGCTCAATAAAGTCCGATTCCTTTCTCCTTTCAAGAGAAATTCAACTTCTCTCCAAAGCAAGCATAACAGAGGAAGTGGCAACACATTTAAAAGTAAAGTGCAGCTATCCCCCCACCCCCTGCCGATGGGCTAGGGGTTAAATCCCAGTGCTGTCACCATGATGGCCTGAGTTCAATCCTCAGCCAGGAGTTGACCCACTAGGTGCAGTAGACCTCTCCTGTCTCACCCGCTGCTCCCCTCAGCAGTGTATCTCAGAAGATCCTCCTGTTGTGCTCCCTACTCTGCCTCTGGTGAATCCTCTCATCCTCCCACACATCTGGCCTGCACCCCAGTTTTTTTATGCAAATATTTTTAAAAAAACTTAAAAAAGGGCCTCCCCTAGTGGGAGAGCAGTTGAGCACTGGACTGCGAAGATGCCCGCAGCCTCTGCAGTGCCAGTTTAATCCCTGGCCGCCGGCAAGGGTCCCACATGGTGCAACAGACCTCTCCTGTCACGCCCGCTGCTCCCCTCAGCAGTTTATTTCGTCAGTCTGCCTGTTCTGTTTCGCACTCTGGCTCTGGTGAATACTCTCACCCTCCCACACTTCTGACTGTACCCCAGTGCTTACATAAATAAATATCTTTAAAAAATCTTTTAAAAAGACACATAAAGGGGGTTTTCTCTAAAATATCCAGTTCCCACGAGTAATTGTGGTTTACACAATCCCTGAAATAGGAGGGATCCTTTTAGCACCATCTATAGAGAAAAGATCTCAAGAGCTTAGGAAAGAAACCTTCAGTGTCAAAGGTGCTCCCCATTTTAGAAAGTTTCCTTCCCTGTTTGTGACAGTGCCCAGCTGACCCTGCTGAAAGGTTTGTTGGGTGTGTCCTTTAGTGATGCAGAGAGAGCCACTGCTTTCACTGCAAGGAGTCGGTTAATAATAACCCATTTTAGAAAACCAAACACTTGCAGCCAGCATGTGGCAGGCTGTGTGGCTCCTGGTCACTCAAGTCTCTGGGAAGCCTGGATTCTCTTCAAGGGAGAGTGTAAAGTTGCCTCCTGAGGCAGTGTCCAGGGGTCCAAGGTCCCTCTTCCAGGCTCTGAAGTACCACGTCAGCTGCACAACAGGGAAGCAGTGCTGCAGCCCTAACATGTGGGCCCCAAACCAGCAGGGGCAGCATCCCAGACCCCTTGTGAGAAATACAGAGCCCCAGGCACCAACAACCCTCTGGGTCAGAACTTGTGCCCCCAGGAGACTGGGACATGACTCTGCCCTCCTGCCTGCTGGACCTGGGGTGGGGAGGCGGTGTCAGCCCCAGAGAAGATTACAACATGTAAACTTATAATTCCCCAAAATATATCCTAAGTTTACAGAAATTAAACACACAAATCAGTGGAACATAGCAAGGAGCCCGGCAAACACACCCCAGGGGTCATCATTGCAGCAGGGAGGCTCTGGGAACAAAGACGGGGGATGCACTTTCCGTCAGGGGCGCTGGCCACCCACGGGGTCACACTCAGGAACGACCTGACCCCCATGTTCCTCCAGGACCCAAAATGACCCGCGCAGAGCTCTGCACCCCCAGACAGCCCCACCCCGGGTCCCCTGACTGGCCCGCTCTGCACCAGCCACTGGCAGCGACTTGTCCTCACCTCCCTCTTGCTCCGGGTGGTTCCTGAAGAAACTGGGCTCCCGCAGGCAAGAGCTTCACCCGAGTCTGGAGCAGCGAGTGCCAAGGAGACCCCAGCAGCGGGGGAGGCGGGAGCGGGCACAGGCCAGGGCTGCAGGGGCGGGTGTCGGGGCGGGCCCAGGGCCGGGCCAGCGGGAGAACCCCGGGTGCTCACGGGGCGCCCCGCCTGTCCTGCTGCGCTGAAGCTCAGAAAATCCAACTAAACGGAGGCGAACACCCCGCGTCTCCGACGACGCCGTTAACGTAGAATTTCCACGCGACTCCACAGCAAGTCGCGCCCCCGTGACTGAAAACACGCGAGGATTGTTCACCCGCGACCACACAGGCCCGAACCCGCTGCCCCCACAGGGAGAGACGGGGCGTCCCGCCCCCCATTATTCCCTGCCTCTCCCCGCCCCGCCACCAGCCTGCATGCTCCCCGCCTGCCCGCTGCCCCCGGGGCTGCTCCCTCCTCGGCCCCGGACCGCTCCGCTGTGGCGGGTGCTCCTGGCCCTGAGTCTCTGCCACTTCCGCTCCCGCATCAGCGCGCAGGGACGTGACGTCAACACGCAGGGGGCGGGGCGAGGCCGAGGGAGGACAGGCTCGCGGGGGAGCCAGGCGCGGGTACAAGGCGCGCGCCGCATGGTGGCTGGGGGGTGGGGGGCAGGGCCGCCCAGGCGGGATAATGGGGGGTGGAGGCCCCAGGCCTGGGACAGGAGGCCAAGGGGGAATGGAGCTGGGGCCGAGGGGCGGGTCAACCCCTCCAAGGGGAGATGCAGCCGGGGAGAGTCGTGGAGGCGGTAGGCCAGTGCAGATGGGGGCAGGAAGCAGGAGTGTGTGACATCACAGCCTTCAAGATGCGGAGACAAAATGACGTGGAGGCAAGAACCCGCTGAAATAGGGGTTCTCGCTCATTTAGAAAAATTTTATATCGCCCTTCTGTGGGGAACTTTGATTCAGCTATTAGAATTTGGAATATTATATATATGCATGTGCATTAAAAAAATAGTAATTTTTTTTTTGAGAAATGACCTCAGGAAATTCTGTGAACACAAATAAAAATGTATAGCCATAAAAATGCTAACCAGCACTTTCTTGTACTAACAAATACAAGAAACAATCTCCATCAGAACTCCAGGAAACAGTCAAATATGTGACAATAAATGTAGCAATTAGGTACAATCATTCTGAATAGTTATCAATGGATAACACTTATAACATTAAATGAAAGAGAAACAATATAAAATTGCAAATATAGTGTTATTCCAGCATGGATAAAAAATTTTATGAAATAATATACTGTGGACGCAGAACAGAAGGGAGAAGTTACTTTGCATTCGGTGGAAGAATATAAAACAGTGAAAATACAGAGACTCTAGCTAAATCCAGTATGTGGGTCACCTTGCCTGCATGTTGTTGAGTGAAAGAGTCAAGATATAAAATGAACATATTATGAATGATTTAAATTTTAGATACCAGACAAAATTGAAATCATGTGTTAATCATGTGTGTCACATGATTAATCACACCTAAGTGACACACATAGGTGTTGAATTGTCATGAAAGGCAGAGGTTATACTTGTAATGACAGCCACATATTTGTGCTTACTCAAAGAAGATTATGATAGTGTGGCCTTGTGTTTCTTCACCCAGTTAATGGAGTCATTTGGTCATTCTGAAATTTCACGTTTATACTATCCAGGACCCTTGCACACAGGTGTTTCAACAGTGAGTCTTCCCTTAACCCAGGAAGGCCAGCTCACCTCTTCTAATTGCTCTCATTTCCTCAACTTTTCCAGTGACTCTCAGCCATCAGTGACATCTTGTTTAATGTGCTATTTACCCAGATGCACACAACAGATACAACACCCAGAGCAAACCTAGAATATGTGTCCGCTTCTTTACTGACATCAACCACCTGCCCCTGTTCCATGTAAGTCTTGTGATCACCCCATAGGAATAGGGGATATTTCCACATGTGACACAGACACCCACAAATAGGGATGCCACAGAAACACTGAAAGTGACGGATGGCCTGTTACTACCTTACTGGAATCAGGTTATGTTCAAGTGTGTGATGACTATAGATCCTTTCTGGTGATTTCTTTTTCCCTAAACACACTCTAAAATATGATTTAACAAAAGAGAGAGCTAGCTGGATTTTGGAGTTTATTTTGTTATAAAAATTATATTTTATTTATCCTTTGTGCTAAGCTATATTTTATAATCTTTTTAAAAGATTTATTTTATTTATTTATGCTACAAGAACTGGGATGTAAGCCAGCGTTACAGGGAGTGAGAAAAATTCACCAGAGACAGAGTGGGGAGCAGAACAGGCAGATCCACTGAAATACATTGCTGAGGGCAGCTGCCCCTCCCCGATGAGCCATGTGGGTCAGCTCCCTGGACAGATTCAAACTCCTCCTGCAGTGGCTTTGGATAGCTTTATAGTGCTGAGACTTTGCCCCTGAATCACCAGGGGGGACCCTATAGTTTGTAATCTTCAGAAATTTGATGATACATTAATGATTCTCTTTTCTTTTTCTGAAATTACAGAAAGGATTAAACAAGGATATATATGGGGAATAACTGTATATACACATAGGGTTGAATGATTCCAATATCCACTTGCAGAGCCACTGTCTCCTACCAATAGGCAAAGAGCTTTCTTTTTTATTTTTTTAATTCGTGTTTATTTGTGCATGCAAGAAATGGGGTACAGGCCAGTGGTGGTGGACTGAGAGGATTCAGCAGAGAGATCAGGAAGCAGAATAGGCGACTGACAGAAATACACTGCTGAGGGGAGCAGTGGGGAAGAGGAGAGGTCTGCTTTCCCATGTGGGTAACCTCCCTCGCCGGGGATCAAATTCCTGATGTAGTAGCTACGGATTACATCATAGTGCTGATACTTAACCCCTTGCACCACCACGGAGGCCCGAGCCTACATTTTTAAAATTGAATCGGAAACCAAAAAGTAATTTTTTTCCAGATCTAGCCTGATGACTTTGTCACACCTCCCAGGGTGTCAGTCCTCAGCCTTGGTCAGTGGTAAGTGGGGGATTCCTGATGTTGCTGGGAGCCTCCACGTGTTCAAGGGAACTAGTGACGAGGGTCACTTGGTCCGCATTGGGACAAAGGGACAGCAGGGCCTGATCCGCACAACAACCTGGACCCCAGCTGGGGTGTCTGCCAGTGGTTAAAATGGTGAGAGGTGCCGTATTTGTTTCATCTGAAAGCCCCTTGGTGACAGTATTAAGTGAGTTGGGGACCTGTAGCTGCCAACCCATGTCTAAGAAGCAGTTCTTGTCACTGGTTACTTGCAGGAGCCCAGGAGAAGCTGACAGTTGGGGACAGACTGATGCTTTCCTAACACAAAATCCAGGCAGTGTGTGCTCTTTGTCCACACTGGCTGGCTCAGGCGTGAGTTCCTTGTGACTCTCCTCTTCTGCAGTCTCACCCTGACATCCAGGGTAAGCTCAGGCACTTTGGCCGTGGGCAACCTAGGACAACCCGGACTCTCTGGACACTGGCAGGTGGCTGGGAGGGCTGGATTGTCCCAGTGAGAGCAGTGGGCTTGGACTGGGGCTTCTACTTACCTTACTTGGTCCTTACTTTGTGCAAATAGTTTTGTGAATCTGAACATTGTGTCTGTGTAAGGAATTCAAGCAAGTATCCAGAATCAGATCTTGGTTATTTAGAAATTTGGTATTTTTCTTATTTTTATGTGTTCAGTCAGACAGCCAATTCAGTATCCACCTGTCACTGTGAAAATGGGATGGAAAGTAGGCTGAAGAGAGTGTACTCCACTGAAAGGAGGCCTTTTCTTCCTCTGAGTTGGCTGGCCTCTTCTGATCACACTTGGGGTCACACTTCTGTGATCAGGCTCAGTTGGTTTTGTCAAAATTACTTTGGAATTTCTCGTCAGCTATAAAGGAAGCTTGCCAGTTGGTTGGAAAATTTCTAAACTTCTTATTGATCATTAAAAATCATAGGTTTCTTTAAAAATCCAAGTTTTATTTAAAATAATCAATTTATTCATCAAAAGCTACATAATAGGTTTCTGTAAACAATATTCCTTGTCAAATCTTTTTCTTAAAAGATTTATTTATTTGTGCATACAAGAACTGGGGTACACACCAGAGGTGCGGGGCGGTGAGAGGATTCACCAGAGACAGAGCGGGGAACAGAACAGACATATCTACTGAAATACACTGCTGAGGGGAGCATCAGGTGAGTCAGGAGAAGTCTGCTGTGCCATGTGGGCAGCTCCCTGGACAGGGATCAAACTCATGCTGCAGTGGCTGTGGACAGCTTCTTAGGTTGTGTCTAAGCCCCTTGAACCATCAGGGAGGTCCTCTTTTTTCAAATTTCTGATAAGAGTCTAAGAACAGACAAACTGCAAAGCAGAAATATTAATATCTCTCTCCTTTTTTTTAAGATTTACTTATTTATGCATACAAGAACTAGGAGACAGACCAGAGGTGCAGGGGGTGAGAGGATTCACCAGAGACAGAGTGGGGAACAGAATAAGCAGACTAACTGAAATACACGGCCAAGGGGAGCAGCGGGTAAGTCAGGAGCACTCCACTGCACAGTGTGGGTAACTCCTTGGCTGGCTGGGGAGCGAACCTGTGTTGCGGAGGCTGCAGACAGCTTCACAGTGCTGTGCTTCACTCCTTGCACCATCAGGGAGGCCCAATCTATTTCTATTCCTTCCCTTTTCATGGCCCAGCTAGAAGGGGTCTTTTGTCTTTCCTAGGAGCAGGCCTCATCTGTGAGGTCAAATAGAAACCAGGACTTTATATAACAATTTGAATTTTCACTGCTTGACTTTAAAATGTTTCCAGGGCCTCCCCAGTGGCGCAGCGGTTGAGTGCTGCATTGCAAAGCTGCCCGCGGCCTCTGCAGCACTGATTCGATCCCTAGCTGCTCCCCGGCCACCGGAGGAGGGTCCCACATGGCGCGCAGACCTCTCCTGCTGCCTGCTGCTCCCCTCAGCATTGTACTTCGGTCCTTCTGCCTGCTCTGCTCCCCGCTCTGGCTCTGGTGAATTCTCTCGCCCTCCCGCACTTCTGACTGTACCCAGTGCATGTATTAACAAAAACAAACAAACAAATAAATAAATAAATAAATAAAACATGACTCTATTAAAAAATATAATATGGTTCCAATTGTGGGTTCTAGAGGTTTTAAAATGATTAAAATGGGACACTTATTAGAACACATAAGAACTTCAGTTTCCATCTCAAATTAGAAACCTCCTTGATAACCAAAGGGGAAAAAAAAAACTTAAATGGCTATATCGACTTAACCTGAAAAACTTAAGTTGTTTTAGGAATTAGTCTAGCTTTGTCTTGAAAAGGTATATAGTTCTGGTGAAACTGACCACCCA